AAAACCGATTTTTCACTACAATGCCTCTGGCGAAGTTATATTCATTTCTACACAAAAACAAATGTTGCTACTATGCTCAGCGTAGTCGATTATCTATAGTCCATGGCATTTTGAGATTCCCAGAGATGTCTGCTTGGAGATAGACACGTCCTCGGGGAAAGCGAGCCCTGCCCGAACGACGATAGCTAGAGAGCGGGGACTTGCATAATTTTGTAGAGTAACGTCCGAACTATCTACGCATGCAAAAAAATTACTAACATTGTATGTTAGTTTTCTGAGAACGGAGCTGGTTTTCCAAAGATCCTCTAAAAACCCGATCTCTGGAATTTCTGGATTTGTTGTTCAAGAACAACAATTTGCCATGCTTATTAAAGCATGTCAAGATTGGAATTATATGCTTGATCAGCGAGCAATTATTGAAACGGCACGTACATATGTTGAAATACTCGGTTTAACATCAAAATTTGGTAAGCAAAGTGCTACTGTTTGTGGTTCTACTGTTTTTCAAGTATATTTAATTATGTTTCTACTATAGGTATTGAAGGTGTAAGTCGTCACGTTTGTCATATTTTCCAAAATTTCTATTTAGGAGTAAGATTATATGATTCAGATTGTCCAATAACGACAATGACTGGGACAAGGTACAATATGACTGAATCGGGTTGGATTGACGAACGTGTATTTTTCGACTGGCTTGATCGTCTGTTTATTCCACACATGGCTCAATGTACAAAACCAATTCTTCTAATTATTGATGGACATTATTCACATTTATCATCACGTATTGCAAAATTAGCTAAAGCAAACCAAATCCATTTGTTGTGTCTTCCGCCACACGCAACCACAGCTTTACACCCTTTAGATGTTGCTGTATTCCTGTATTATTTAAAATCTCGAAATTGGCTCATTGAGTACAGAGCAGTTAGTGAATTTATTTGTGCAAAATATTTTCTACAATATCCTATGAAATATTGCAGAAAATAGGTTTTACTAAAACGTTGAAAACTCGTGTAATTTGAACGGGATGGTTCCAATTAGACACACATTTTGCTGTACGATTCCAATTAAGCTCAGTGCCTAATATGCAACTATCTCGTTTTTTCATACACTAAAGTATTGGAAATATAACTTGGTCAATTTTGATCCTACAAATCTCGAAATAGTGGCATTCGACGGGGCTCTGAGTCTGATTCATTCATTTTTGAGTGAGCACTGTTCATTTTACAAACAGCTTCAAACTGCATGTTGAAAAAGCTGAAAAAACATTCACAGGACTTTTGCAAAAAGTATTATTGAAAACATGGAAATA